ACCAAGTAAAAGCAAGAACACAACTTAAATATGACTCTTGCTCCTTAAAGCTTCCACCTTTGTTCTTTATTTTTGAACTTGTTTCCTTTTAACCCTACAAATTGCTTCTTGACTTATTCCTACATGGTTTTTCATGTATATTCCAAATATATGTTTAGATTTAAGAAAATAAAACTCCTCCTTTTAGTTGCTCTTGACTGAACCAAGAGGGTTCTTTAACCCAAAAATTACAACTTTAGTTTTAATGCTTCCAACACTTGTTCCTTTTGGTTTACCCTACACCATTTTTCATTTTGAACACCATAGAAGTCTTAAAACATTGACAAACTCATCCTAGGGTTCAGTTACTATCTTGGCCGAAATGAATCTTGGGAAAAACCCCAAAGAAAATACTTCAAAAACAACCAATAACCACTTGCTACTAACATGCTTTGAAGTCTCTTAACAAGTTTGACTAACGAAACTTCTTCCCCCTTATGATAAACCAGTTTGGCCAACACCAAAATGAGAAGAGACAGAATTTTTCAACCACACAACTCAAGCAAACAAGGTGGAGAACAACTTAAGACCAAAAACTAACCTTGAATCCTTGATTAAGTGACCAAAGTTGATAGCTTTTCTTGTTTCTCCTTCAAAACCCTCTCTTTTCTCTCTTCCTCTCACTTGGCCGAACCACCATCTGAAATTAGGGGGAGGAGAGCTTGTTTAATGAGCGAAAATATCCAAACCACCATCATAAATGAAATTCCAAGTGTCATTACCCTCTTTAATCTTACTTTCTCTTTCATAATTAACTAAATCCAAATGAAATTAATTACCAAAAGTCAAAATCCTCTCCATTTGAGAAATGACACTTGGCAAGTTCAAATCCTCTCCATTAGGGGCTTGACACATGACCAATTGTGAACCATTTGAATTGCAAGACTCTAGTCTTGCTTTATCGGTGCACTTTGACTCCGGGTTTAACTTCGTTTCTATAATTACAGTATTTTGGCCTCTGTAATTATTTTCTATCAAATCCCTAATTTATTCTCCTTATTTTTATCTTCCCAAATTGCCCTCTTTGTCTCAAAATTAATTTCCCAATAATTAAATAAAAAGGAAAACTAATTTCCTTCTCTTTAGGGTTTTTCCACTTTTCAAAGGCATTGGGAAAAATCTTGGATACTTGAGGGTCTTTATTTAATTCCATAATCTCTTATAATTCCTTGGGATATCATAGGAATTTTTTTAGAATTTTATTCCCCTTAAAAATATTTATTTGGAATTTTCTAAATAAAATCCCTTAAATTGGCCTAAATCACCCTTAAATCCCTTTGTAATTTCTCTAAGGGTAATTTGGTCATAAAACCAATTTTATAATCTCGTATAATTCTCAAAGGATATTATCCTTATTTTTTCTTAATTTTTCATATCCATTATCAGGGTTAATTTTTGCAGGATGTGACATTTCCTCCCCCTTAAATAAATTTCCTCCTTAAAATTTAAATATACTCTAGATAAAGAGCTTCAAGTAACTGCTCTTCATGTCATCTTCCTTTTCCATGTTGTTTCTTCTTGTGTCAAGTTCTCCCAGATCCCCTTGGAATGTTGAAATGGTCTTACTTCACAGCTGCTTAATTCGCCAATCCATGATCTTTATCGGCTTTATTCCGAACATCAAGTTATCTTGCAGCACGATATCCTCATCTGCCAAAATATGAGAGGGGTTTGGCTAATACTTCTCTAGCTAAGAAACTTGAAAGACGTCATGTATCTAGTCAGGATTAAGGGGTAGAGCCAATTCATAAGCTACCTGCTTAGCTTTTTAACAAAATTTGGAAGGGTCTTCGGTGTTAACTATTTCACTTTTGGGATTTGACCCATTCCTGTAGTTAGTATCTCTAACCACAACCTTTAACGGCTTCCTTTTTATGTCCACATATATTTTTCTATTTATTTTGCGCTGCTAACAATCTTTGTCGATTCATTCTTACTTACCCTGACACTTGATTCACCATCCTTCTTGGGCTGTAAACTTTTCTTACCCTTAGTTCAATCCAATACAATGGTAGTTGGCACTTCCTGCCGCATAAGGCTTCACACAAAGCCATTTGTATAGTGGGATGGTAACTATTATCATAGGCAATGCTTTCCTTTAACAATTGTATTGTCAAATTCAACCATCTTTCTCTTTACCTTAAAGGTCTATTTTCCTTCTTTTACCATCTTATTTCATAATCAGCTCACCTAAATACACACTGTTAAGAACTTATAGCTCTTAGCCCAATTGACAACAATGGTATCTGTGAAAAAAAGTCAAGGATACTCTCTTTGTACTAGCTAACCACTGGAGGGGGCTTTCATATCTTAAACTCGTCCCTGGTCATCCGTTATCAAGCCTCAAAAGGAATCACCCTTATAGCTTAACGTGTTATCTTATTCCCATGCCTCGAGAGGCATTACCCTCTTGGCTTAGCATGTCATCCCATTCTCATACCTTGAGAGGCATCATCCTTTTGGCTTGACCAAAAATTTGGCTCTTGACCAAAAATCAATTTTATTAGGAGAATTTTATTGGCTTGATATGTACAATTGCTGCAAAATATCAAACCAAATATTACAACACTAAAATAAAGATCTTGTTCTAAAAAGTATTGATCTAGCTATTCTTGGAGGCTTTAATAAATTATTCTGCTAGATCATCGTATTAAACAAGCCTCTCAACAATTTTCTAATAAATATATGATAATCATTGAAAAGATGAGATATAAACTCACTAGCATTTGCAACAGAAATTTTTTAGATTGCACTTTTCTAAAAATGTGCACTCAACATATATAATAATTTACTCAATTAGTCTCGCAAACTTCAAGTTGCAACCTAATAATAACACATATAACTATCTTATAGATGCATCTATCAAATTTATTGAATACTTGTATAATTTACATGCTATCTGTATTGGCCCATATATCTGAATTTGATATACTTCTCGAAATACAATGATCTATTCCAAGTCATAACTAGTGATATCAACATAATCTATTTTCTTTGAGAATAAAAGGTATATGAACTCTTGAATCATGCAATATGTTGTCTAATCATTAAGAATCTTCTTCTTTTTCAATAGATGTCAATACATAATCATTAATAATTTGTTGCATCATATATATGATTCATGATGATTAAACAAGTTATACCAACTATAAATCTAATTGGGCTAGTCAATTTCTAGTTTACTATAACAAGTTTTTTATATTAATGAAAATCTATCTAACATCAATTCACACTTGTATTTCAATAGTCTGCCCTTCAAGTGTGAGTCATATAAACATGTTTTCCTTATTCTTGTATTTCAAAAACAGTGACTAGCATACAATAGACCAACAACCTCTCTCACTTGGAAGTCCAAGTATTTCCTAGTTTATACATAATTATGGAGTTTAATTTAGTTGGACTATTACTTTTTAAACCCTTTGGAGAATTGAAGTTTTGACATAGATTAATATATCATATTTTTTACCATCAATTCTTTGTCCGCCCATAAAGAAAAATATGGATTAGTTCTTCAAGAACTATATTAATATTTTTTACACATAGCTCTTCAGGAACTCTGTAATTTGAGAAGAATGAGGAGACAAATTCATATTAATAACACCATAATACATAATAATGAATAGTTATGAGTATCATACATTTAACGTGCAATATATATAGAGTTTACACATACTGCAAAAATGATTTTATCTAACTAATCAAAATCAATATCTACTATTTATAATAAATTTTCTTATAAAATTCAATAACTTTCCATTCTCTCAATTCAAATGTGACATAAATATTTTATTTTTATTTTTCTTCCAAATGTTAAAACAAGACTAATTTAATTTAAATATATAAGATCAATGATTCATCATTTTGAAAAAAAAAAGAAGGGATTAACATGCCTCTTAACATTTGAATAGAGGAATATAAATATCCAATTTCTTTTATAGTATTTCAAAATGTTCAAAACTTAAAGAATTAAATGATATTTGAATTAATCCAACATTCATAAAATTTTCTTAAAACTATAATTATCATTTGCATGTGCTTAATTATTTTTCATAGGCAAACTCATATAGTTAAAAGGAACACAAAATGTAGAGGATCTTTTAAAATAAACTTTTTGAGAATAAAGTGTAAGATTGAATGTATTGCTCAAAATTTCTCAACATTAATCAAGATACTATATATCATTTATTTAATTTGCAACACTCAAAATATGTCATTTGGAAAAATACTTACATATTATATGAATGCTTAATTTTTCTTCACTAATTTCTTATTTAGTTAAATTCAAAGTAACTTAAAATACTAATAATAAAATTTATTATCAATAAATCATTAAAACTAATATTAAATAAGATTATATGATAAATGAACAAAATATAAATAATATAGCATCTCTTTAGTTTGCAAACAAATGGCACAATAAAATATCAATATCATAATATGACCATCTTTAGGATGTTCTATTAATATGAAAATAAGTTATATTCATATTTCATATTCTTAAATATGTAAATAAATTGGCACAATAAATTAATTTTTCAAAATGACCAATAACGATTTTTTTTTTGGTATATTTAGTTTCATGCCACTCTCGGATATTTTTCTACCAACTTATCACAAGAAATTTGAAGACTAATAAAAATTAAATATCACATAGCCTTTTAGACTTATAGTTATATCTTCTAACTTTAACTAGTATAATAATCGTGCCATGCACGGGGTCAATAGTGCAATGGGAGTAATAAATGCACCAAATATATATCACAATACCTTTAGGGATATGATAGTTACGATAAAATAAATAACTCAATCCATTCCCAATATAGATAAACAAAAGGGCCTAAAGTCTAAATAATAAGATGCTATCAACAATACTGCTATAATCTACACATAAATATTGTGGAAAACCTCCTTGTAAACAACATTGTTTGTTCTGTTAGTAGCTTTACCATCAGTATCCAAGATTAAAATTTTAAGCCTACTCTTTCTGCACACACGAGAGACTGCCATATAGAGCTACCCATGGTGAAAACTGGACAAGAAAGGAACAAGCCAATGTTGTGCAAACTTTGACCCTGGCTCTTATTAATCATCATTGTAAATGATAGTGTGAGAGGGAATTGGTGACGGTACAGTGTGAAGGGATACCCAAAGTCAGAAGGTGTAATAGTCATCCTAGGTATCATAACAGTTTGGATGGTGACAGTATCAGATAGCATTTGGAAAATAATGACATATTTTTCCAATCTAATGACAATCAGTCTAGTGCCATTGCAAAGTCCATTGGATTTGTCAATGTTCCATATGAGTATTACTGGTACACCAACTTTGAGTTTCAATGCATGGTTTGGTAGTCCTGACATTTTGATTGTGTTGAGGAACTCAACCTAATGTATGTTGTCAATAGAGCTCGATGCTTTATCTTGCTTTAAAATGTTGTCTACATTGAGATACTCAACTTCATCACCAGGAAGAAGGGACAACATGAATGAGTTGACCTTGTCCATGACAGAGAATATTGGGCATAAAATAGCACGATCATTGAAGTAGGCCTTGTCTTACAAGTGGTCAGGAAGGTTTAGATATATGGCATCGACTATAAAATGCAAAGGATTATCTACTCGGGTCAACAAAAAATCATCTGGAATAGTAATGAGATCATCAGTGTCTTCATCTGTTGGGACTGTGTCATCACCAATTGATAAAATCCAATTTGCAAATTCAACAAGCTCATGTTGGATTGCTTTGCTGGTGCAACTTTCAAGGCACATATTCCTTGAAAGAGTGAAAATCTGACAATCTTTCCACAAATAAGAAGAATTAATAGTTGTAAAAACAATATCCTCTCTCCGTCCTCTTGGAATTACAGGCAGAATTTGTCTAAAATCACCCCCAAGAACAACCACTTTTCCTTTAAAAGGTTTGTTTCTTGCTGACGGGTCTGAATGTTTCATCACATCTCGCAAAGATCTATCTAGAGCTTTAAAACAATATTTGCTTTGGTGCTTCATCCCAAATTATAAGCGAGGTCTCAAGTAAAAGTTCTGCTAGTTGGCTACCCTGTTTTATATTACAAATTGAGTCTTCAGTGATAGAAATGGGGATGGCAAATTGAGAATGGGCTGTTTTCCCATTTGGTAACAACAAAGAAGCAATGCCACATGAAGTAATGGCCAACATTATTTTCTATTCCACATCCAAAGCTGCGTGAAGAGTTTTCCACAAGAAGGCCTTTCCAGTTCCCTCGTAACCATAGCTAAAATAAAGCTCACCTCTAGAGTTGACGACAGCACCATAAATAGAATCAAATATTGTTTTTTGTTCAGCCATAAGTTTCGGTAAGAGAGTTTGGAGCTTATAATAGAGAACATCTGGGTTGTATCTTATTTCGGCCAAGAGAAATTTGTTTCTAATAGGAAGTCTATTATGCAAACTTGGTTGCAGCATATCAGAGAAGTCATTGAGAGTTTGCCCATTTGCCTACAATAATTCTTCAATCTCCTGTATCACATATTGCTCTAGCTCTGCATCTCTAATGTTGAGGCCTATCAAACATAAAATTGGGAACATAAGCAAGTGAATTTAGTAGTACGGAACAAACATATTTCATCAGCATAAGTGTACAGAAGTTTTACATTACCTGAATCACCTATAGCATTCATGAGCTAGAAGAGTATGTCATTGCTCATTAATTTCCAAGTTTGAGTCCACAAAACACCAGACCTACTCATGCAATTACAAAAAAGCAATGTGGCAAAAATTCCATGTAAGAAAGAACTGCTAGTCCATTGACTGGCCTCTATAATGGTATCTATATACTCGCGATCATCCTCAAGTAACCCTCGAGTATAGTAAGCTTCTTTAAAATTTGGATAATGTACACCATCAACTATGCATATATCTTGAAAACACTTGGGCCTCTCACTGAAGCAAGTAACATCCTTAGATAAAAATTCTCACTAGCACCTGATGGAATATAGATTAAGCAATCAATTGCAAACCCTGATTTCCTTAATGTCCATATGTGAACATTATCTTTATAGATAAAGTTTGTGGGAAATTCTACATAAGTCAATGTTCGAGCTAAAGTAAAATGCTTGTTGGTTTCCATCCAGGCTTCAAACTGAGTCACTTTGCCAGCTGCCTGATTCAGAATATGGTCAAGATCTTCATCCTCTGCATAAAGTGCACTTTGCTCACTCGGTAGATGGAATATGAGGCACTCAATAGCAAGAGTTCTGTAGTTTATATCATGCATAAAAATTCTCCATGCAGCCTTACAAGTAGACAAATATCTAACATCATAGTACATTTTGATCTCTTTATTGACAATATCCATACGTTTTATTGTATTTTGTGTATAAAAAGCAGCTATAGCATAGTCATGACCTTTGCTAACATACTTAAATAAGTACTTTATTGATTCACCTTCTTTACATCTCTCAACGTTTATATGGGCTTTGTATTTTAGAAGCAACTGTGGATTGTATGGCACAACATATCTAATATCAAGAGGAATTCTATTTTTAATAATTTCTCTTCCATTATTAGGTCTCTTTTATCGGGGGTAACCATCCTCATGAATGATGGTACTTGCAATGAACTCTTTTGGAAAAATTTTGGTGCAAACGCCATCGTGCATACAATGGAATCGAGGATTTACCCTCCTGCATGGCCCATGCATCACAAATTCACTAACTGCATTATATAACTCTGGGTTATTGTTCTTGTCAGGTATCTCAGCATTGATAAGGCGGTCAACATCATTTGGTGTTGTTATCTTGCTGGACGAATCGAGGAAAAGCACAATGGGGGCATGAGGTAGCCTCCTTTTTTGGAACTCCATGGCATATAATGTTGTCAAAAAAATTCAAAAGAATTCAATTAGAATACAAAATGAACAATGAACACCTTATCATGAAGTGTTGCACCTCCGTATTGATGTCTATTAAATCATGAAAAAAAAAATCAAGATCCAATTCCAAATTAGAGTATTATACAACGAGCCCCCAACATACCTGCCCTAATAGGACCAAAGAGATCTCCTTTTTTTAAGGTCTTTCATCAGAAGGTCAAGCTTCATTTTGAAAACTCAAGTGATAGCATCTGGGCGGCCTTCCATCTGGAGTTTCCAATGTTGCAAAATACGTGTTATTTTAAGCCATTTGGGTTACATGTGAATGTAATGAAAAGATCTGGATATCCAGTCCATCTGCAAATGGCCATTGCATCTTGATAATTTTTCATTGTGTATGGTGGGCCCCTAGTAAAAGATGATGGTAAGATTATTCACTTTCCCCTTGCAAAAGCCTCGATTTCTCTAAGCAAGATAGCATCGATTAGCCCTTTGTAATGTTCTACGCACATCTCTCTTTGATGCTTTCTAATGTAGGTTAGCCTCCAAGATTCTATTGTCACACCTTACTTATATAGTACCTTAGCAGTCATTTAGAACCATTCCAAACCACTTTGGATGGTCTTAAACTTAAAAATTTCAATTTGGACGTTAATTTTCGGGAAATTACTGTTCACTGTCCAGTTTTCAGATTACAGGTCCAACTTTGAAAAATCATAACTAATTCTAGAAAAATTGTATGGAGGTGTTCCAAAATTCTACGGAAAGCTCTTTCAATCCTCTTTAAGGGAAAAATACTCAACTGAACTCATCCTCATAGAAAACGTACAGTTTATTGGATTAAGATTACTATCCGTTTGGTAAAATCTGGACTTTCCAGATTCTGTGCCTTAACTTTGAAAATTCATATCTCTTCGTATACACATCCAAATGAGGTGATTTACCACTCATTTTGAAGCTTGGGATGTGCACTATAGGTCTACCAAATCTCGTGATTTAAATCATTCATTTGGTAGGTCAAACTGAAGCTCAAAACTAACTGCTTCAGGACCTACGTTTTATCCTTTAATATCTCCTTACTTTAATTCTTTTTATTTCTTTGACATACATAGCATGGGCTTAATCTTTCTCATTCATACTCATATACTTTCATTCATGCCATAAACATCCTAAGCATATACATTGAAGTAATGGCATTCATAACATAATTTACAGCATAGGAGAATTATACATTGAATATTAATATCATTCATTTGCCTTAATAATTCTCCACTTCTTCTCCTTGCTTCTCATGCCATTAGTGCCCATCATTGATTGACCTAAATGGTTGGTTAGGAAGGGGGTGAGATTAGGGGGAATCTCAGTAGCAAACAATACCATATTAATCATGCTAAATGGATGCTCATGCACTACACGCAACTTGTTTATTCTCTTGTTAATTAGTGACATACTAGCATGCTCAAAGCTAACTTCTTGATGCATGGCCATGGAGACATAATCTACTCATCATGAATAGCAATCACAGCAGCTAAAACATGTCACAATAACATTCAATAACATGTATACGGTAACACACAAGCATACAACATCAAGCAATGACAATAGGTAAGTTCACTACCTTGCACCTCAAGCCTTCCTCTTACTTTTCCTTTGACTCCCTTGACTTTCCAACCATGTTAGCTTTCGGTCAACATCATCAAACATCCTCTTGGATGTTCCAAAGGTCCTTGATCTTGAAGCTTGAACTTTGTTCCTTCTTCTTGGCCTTCACCCCTACGTTTTTCTCTCTAAATTTTGGCAGAGTTTCCCCTCTTAAACTCATGTTGGCTGAAAATATGAAGGGGAAGAGGCTCTATTTATAGCAAAAAAGTTGGCTTGAATGGACCAAAATGCCCTTGGTGGCTAATAGAAAGGGTAAGGGCAAATTTGGAAGTTCAAGTGGACTTTTGCATCATCATTGCATCATCTTATTACATCATGTTTACCTCAACCTTCTAGAAGATGCCAAGTGTCATGAAAGTGGTGGAGGAGATGGGAGATTAGATCTTAGCCGTTGGATCAAACTTGTTTCATAAGCTTCGTCCGAATTTACTTGGCCCACGTTTTTCCGGCTTTCTTTATGGCCTTTCAGAGCTCAGAAAATTGTTCTGTCTGCTTTATAAATTCCTTTTAATTCTAGAGAATATCTATGAATTTTCTTAGGCTATAACACTTCCTTTAAACCTTGCATAAAAATTCATTTACCAAAATGCCCTTTTATCGGCAAAACCGGCTCTTTAATTTATTAAAGCCACTCCACTGGTATTTTGGTTGCGGGACTAATTTTATAAATTAGTACAACCTTTCAACCATTTAACCTCATTTTTGTATATATTTTTGAGGTCTCTTGCTATTTTAAATAATTACCTCACATGGTATACTTTTTACCGGTAATAACCTTATAAATTCTGTTGAAGCTGCCTCAGGGGTATTTTCATCTTTTCTCTTCATAGAAGAGCCTTAGAATAT